GGGGGGGGGGGGGGGGGGGGGGGGGGGGGGGGGGGGGGGGGGGGGGGGGGGGGGGGGGGGGGGGGGGGGGGGGGGGGGGGGGGGGGGGGGGGGGGGGGGGGGGGGGGGGGGGGGGGGGGGGGGGGGGGGGGGGGGGGGGGGGGGGGGGGGGGGGGGGGGGGGGGGGGGGGGGGGGGGGGGGGGGGGGGGGGGGGGGGGGGGGGGGGGGGGGGGGGGGGGGGGGGGGGGGGGGGGGGGGGGGGGGGGGGGGGGGGGGGGGGGGGGGGGGGGGGGGGGGGGGGGGGGGGGGGGGGGGGGGGGGGGGGGGGGGGGGGGGGGGGGGGGGGGGGGGGGGGGGGGGGGGGGGGGGGGGGGGGGGGGGGGGGGGGGGGGGGGGGGGGGGGGGGGGGGGGGGGGGGGGGGGGGGGGGGGGGGGGGGGGGGGGGGGGGGGGGGGGGGGGGGGGGGGGGGGGGGGGGGGGGGGGGGGGGGGGGGGGGGGGGGGGGGGGGGGGGGGGGGGGGGGGGGGGGGGGGGGGGGGGGGGGGGGGGGGGGGGGGGGGGGGGGGGGGGGGGGGGGGGGGGGGGGGGGGGGGGGGGGGGGGGGGGGGGGGGGGGGGGGGGGGGGGGGGGGGGGGGGGGGGGGGGGGGGGGGGGGGGGGGGGGGGGGGGGGGGGGGGGGGGGGGGGGAGGGGGGGGGGGGGGGGGGGGGGGGGGGGGGGGGGGGGGGGGGGGGGGGGGGGGGGGGGGGGGGGGGGGGGGGGGGGGGGGGGGGGGGGGGGGGGGGGGGGGGGGGGGGGGGGGGGGGGGGGGGGGGGGGGGGGGGGGGGGGTAGGGGGAGGGGGGGGGGGGGGGGGGGGGGGGGGGGGGGGAAGGGGTGGGGGGAAGGGAAGGGAGGGGGGAAAGAAGGGAAGGAAGGGGTGGGTGGGGGGGGGAAGGAAGGAACAGAAGTCGGACTCACCATGACTCAGTCAGATGGCATCATAGCTGTCGGCTGCTGTTTTCAGTTTCCCGCCAACACCAACTCTGAAGCTGCACGAACTGGAGTGTGGGGTGGGCACAGGGGGAGACAGAGCAGATCCAGACTCTCTCCCCTCTTCTCCTATTGGTGCGGAGGATGGAGGGAGGGGCTGGGCAGTGAGAACACAGCGGCGGGGAGAGGGAGAGGAGGAGAGGGGGGATGGCAAAAACCATCAGATATGTGTTGTGCAGTGGTGGGGGCAGTGACTAGCAGCGATCTACTGTATGGCTTTCAGCTGCTTTATTGAAAGCCATACAGGAGATCGCTGCTTGTCACTGCCCCCACCGCCACCCCTCCCACACACCCCTAGTCCTGGCACTGCTCGCCGCTCCCATCTGATTTCCACTCGCGCTGCAGGGACGGTTGACACCTCTCCTCTGGGGATGCAAATTTTTTGCGCATTACGGTGCGTTTTTTACACGTTTTTGTGGGTTTTTGATGCTTTCCTGTTCATTTTTTTTCCCCTCTCTTTTTCTTCAATTTAAATAGGGACAAGTGTATTCCAGTGCGTTACTGATGCATTTTACCAAGTTCCAGTACAGTTCTGTGCAGGAAAAATGCAGCCTGTTCTACTTTTTATTTCTGCAACCGGAACTGCAAGCACTGATGTGAACTATGACATTGACAACAATATAACCTACTTTCTGTGCGTTTTAGATGCAGAAAAAAAGCAACTGAAACGCATGTAGTGTGGACTGGCCCTGAAAGTTAGATAATCTTAATAATACTTAAAGAAGAAAACGTGGTTGACTGTAAGCTGCAAGGTGGATTTGTCGCTTAGACTACACACCTGCAACTTTCACTATACTGGTACAAGTGAAATCTTGGAGCAAATGCATTTCATTAAGAGTGGCTTCACACTGCCTCACTGTGCTCTTGATAAAGCACAGCTAACCTAGTTTTCATACAGGTTAGCTGCCCTTACCCATACATTTCTATGAGGTCCAGCAGTTTTGGTGTGGTTTTGGAAAACGTTTTTAAAAACTCCTGCTTGCTTTATCATTGGTGTGTTTTCTGAAACCGCACCAAAAACTGCTAGACAAGATAGAAGTCTTTGGGAAAGCGCAGCTAACCTGCATGAAAAACACAGGTTAGCTGTGCTTTATCCAAAATGCAGTGGACCACAAAGGGGAAGTTAAAGTGGAATGCATTACTCACAACTTGGTAACTTCTTCCTTAGCATTCACCTTGAAAGCTTTTGGGTTATATGTGTGTAATAAGAGCACATACCCCCTTGTTGATCCTGTGAGAATTCCAGTGCCATTCTGTCCCATGCAATCTGCAGTGTTATCTTAATCCTATCAAGAATGACTACAGAACACCTCCCACATGTTATGGAGATGAGGAGACAGGGAGGAGTTCTGTAGTCAAAAAACATACTACCTTTCCTAGGGTGACAAATGCTGCACCTCCACAAATACATTACAGCAAGCAGGCAAGCATTGTTATCCTAGGACAACAATTGTGCTACTAGCAGGATCACCAGATTAAGAAAAAGCCTAAAAAACAAAAAAAAACCCATTGTCTAAGGATTGGAAAATTACAATGTATTACATATAGTTAAGCTACTCCTAAATGCCTAATTGAAGATTCTATGTGACTAAAATAAAAATAAGCTAAAGAAGATATCTTGTTTCATTGGATGATTGTGATTTTACTTTTAACATGCAGTGGAACAGGTAAAATGTTCTTGTACTCAACATCAATCAAATTGATCAGTGTGAGTCTCTACTACATTTCTACAGTATTCCGCTAATAGTTTTGTCCATCTCACCAGAAAGCAAGGTCTCTTCTGTCAGTCTGCCATGTCGTTCTGGGTCAGGGTGAATCCTGGGGAGCAGTTTGCTGCGGTAATGCCAGGGAGGAGTAGTTGGAGAAATTTTTGGTGATAAGACTACTGGTTAAATCAAGTTCATCAGCATCAGGGACATGTGATGATTGAGTTACAAATCTTCTGTAATCCCAGCAATGAACTGCGGAAATGTTTTAAAAGAATATGTAAAAGAGAGTTTAAGTTTTTAAATCTTTTTTGGACTTTCTAGGCTCTTGAGAAAATCTTTATATAACAAGTGTTACTTACAGTTCCTTTCATCGATCTCCAAAAAACGATTACAGAGTTGTAGTTCCCTTGACCAGTCTGGCTCTGGCATATGTTGCATTACCCAACATCGATGATACCATGTCCCATAAGACTTGGGGTTTACCCGTAAACAGCTCTCTAGGAAGGACAGCTCTCCCACATAAAGAGTGCGTATCTCCTCTTCTGACCTGACAGGTGGAAATAGAAAAACATGCATCTAGAAACACATCTGTCTTCAGCCATGACCGTGTTTATGTTCATTGCTTCTACTATCTTAAAGCTAGTCTTATGGTGATCCTTTGCTTCGTCCTTTTCAGGGCTTATAGCCCTGTAACCACTTTGCTCACATGTTGCTTTATTCATCCATCAGAGCCAAATTAATTACTCAGCACTTCAAAGTATAAGGGAGTACTATGCAGTGCTGGATACCTGAACAGTGAATTGCCAGACCTCAGCATTGTCACATCAGGGTAGGAAGGTAAAAGCCCTTGGGCTTGTATAAACTCCAATCAGATCAACTTAGACCTTACACAGGGCTTTTTCCCCTTTGCACTGCCTATGGAGGAGTTCATAGCGATAATGGCTGGTGAATTAAAGTGGAACGTTATCTGGGTACCACAAACTAAAAACACAATTTAATTCAGTTTTGTAGGCAGGAAGGTGTGTTTAGTTGAAAAAGCCCCTCCTTCACATAAAAGAAAAAATACCTATGAAGACTCCTGGGATGTATGACATAATTTTGGCCTCGGCCAGAAATTAGGAAGCAACTGAATAAGTGTAAACGTTTTTTTTTTGTTTTAACTGCCTCCCGCCGGCCATATAAGGAAATATTGGATGGGTGGCAGCGCTCTCATTCTGGGAGGGGACATCATATGACGTCCTTCCACTCTAACTGCATATGTGTGCCCCCAGGGGCGTGCAGCGATCGGTGGTGCGCTGTGTCCCTGGGACACAGCAGATCACCGATCAGAGTAAAGAACCAATGACACAGGCTCTGTCATGTGATCAGCTGTGTCCAATCACAGCTGATCGCATGTAAACAAGGAAATGCCGGTTATCGGCAGTCCTCTCCTCACACTGACAGCGCGTGAGGAGAGGAGAGCCGGTAAGTGGCATTTCTCAGAGGGGACATCTACGCTGATCATCAGGGCACTGATGATTAGTGCACTGATGATCAGTGTAGCCCCATCATTGCCACCTGTCAGTGCCCATCATTACCATGTCAGTGCCCATCAATGCCACATATCAGTGCCCACAAGTGCACATCAATGCCACATATCAGTGCCCATCAGAGCTGCCTTTCAGAGCCGAATATCAGTGCCTATCAGTGCCACCAATCAGTGCCAGTCAGTGCCGCCTATCAGTGCCCAGCAGTGCCGCCTAACAGTTCCAATCAGTGCTGCCTATCAGTGCCAGTCAGTACCGGCTCTCAGTGCCACCTATCAGTGCCATATATGAGTGCTGCCTTTCAGTGCCCATCAGTGATGCCTGTCAATGCCCACAAGTGATGCCTGTCAATGCCCATCAGTGCCACCTATCACTGCCTCATCAGTGCCGCCCATCAGTGCCCATCACTGCAGCTTCATTAGCCACATCACATGTACAAAAGTTTATAACAGAAAAAAAGAAAAAAAAAGTTTTTTTAGTCTTTTTTAGTTTGTTTAGCAAAAAAAACAAAACAAAAAACAGTGGTGATTAAATACCACCAAAAGAAAGCTGTCTCAAAAAATGATAAAAATTGTATTTTGGTACAGTGTTGCATGACCTCACAATTGTCATTCAAAGTGTGACAGCGCTGAAAGCTGAAAATTGGCCTGGGCAGAAAGGGGGTAAAAGTGCCCGGTAAGCAAGTGGTTAAATAAAGCAAATATAACTTACTTTCTATTTACTAAGGCTAGTAACATAAAAATTAAAGAATAGGTTTACCTTTGGGAACATGTTACATGTTACACCCGTTTTTAGGGCAGAAGATGTAACATGTTCCCGATCAAGTCAATGTACAGTAGTCTTATGTGACTACTGTCCTACTGAAAATTATGTATCCTTTCTGGTCCATGTATTTTGCTGCATTTGCAAATTCTGAAAACAATCACAATGCGCCTTATAGTGGTAGCTGGTATAGCTTATTTCCCCTTATTTTGGCAATATTTTTTCCTGTAGTATGAAACAATTGTTATAGTTGTTAAAGGAAATCATTTTATAGTGATCTGTTATACCAAAGCATCTGTCTGCAGTATGTAAAACATGGTGTCACAGACTTTTGACTTTCCTGAAGACTCGTTCCTCTAGAACAGTGGTGGGCAACCTTTTTTTTTCAACTGAGCCAAATCTCGCCAAAACCACGATTGAAATTTATTTTGAGAGCCACATTTTTAAAACTGAAAATACATCTCCCATATAGTAATTCATCCCCCATAGTAATTCATCCCCCATATAGTAATTCATCCCCCATAGAGTAATTCATCCCCCATATAGTAATTCATCCCCCATATAATTCATCCCCCATATAGTAATTCATCCCCCATAGTAAATTCATCCCCCATATAGTAATTCATCCCCCCCATAGTAATTCATCCCCCATATAGTAATTCATCTCCCATATAGTAATTCATCTCCCATATAGTAATTCATCCCCCATATAGTAAGTCCCCCATATAGTAAGTCCCCCCCCCCCCCATATAGTAAGTCCCCCCCATATAGTAAAGTCCCCCCCATATAGTAAGTCCCCCCCCATATAGTAAGTCCCCCCCCATATAGTAATTCATCCCCCATATAGTAATTCATCCCCCATATAGTAAGTCCCCCCCCCCATATAGTAAGTCCCCCCATATAGTAAGTCCCCCATATAGTAAGTCCCCCCTGTGTCAATTCACTTACCTTTGCTCCGCGCGTTCCTCTCGCCGTGCTTCCCGCGCCGTTCTGGTCTTCAGGGCGGACTGTGAGAGGAGAGGAGTTCGTCACGCTGCCCCGCCTACATCCTGGCTGCCCCGCCTACATCCTGGCTGCCCCGCCTACATCCTGACAGCTGCAGAGTCCTGACTTTTGGGGCGGCCGCCCGAGAGGAGGGAGGGGAGCGGGCGGCCGTCCGAGAGGAGGGAGGGGAGGGGAGGTGAGGGGGCGGCCGCCCTGCACACGCCCGTCCGAGAGGAGGGAGGGGAGCGGGCGCCCGGCACACAGAAGAGCCGCATTTAAGCTTGTAAAGAGTCGCATGTGGCTCGCGAGGCGCGGCTTGCCGACCACTGCTCTAGAAGGTAACCCGTCATTGATGGATTTGCTAGCAATAATTAATCAAAAGAAAATGGTATGTACAAGATATAACTTCAGGGTGTCATGTTTGTGAAATACATGGACCCATAATCATATCCACATCACTAGCTGTAGCCTCTACATACAGAGTTATTATACACTTACTTAAAAAAAATAGAAAGGGAAACTGCTGAAGTTCCTCATATCAGCCAACCAAATTTTTGTTTTTAGCTTCTTTTTTCTAGTTGAAATCTAATTATTAGTTAAGGGCAGCAGATATAGTTTTAATTTTCTAAAGTGCATAAGAGGAGTCAATGACACAGACAACCTTTGGCATTTACCTTTCAGTGCCAAGTGCAAGATATACTTCTCGTCTCAAGTTCCATAGGGAAGCAAAGTCTGGGTTTAATGCCAATATTTGAGCTGTTAGTTCGAGTGCTTCTTTATCCAGCTGCCCAACTTCACGCTGCAGGAAACAACCAGAGCATAAGAGTGGGCTCAAGAGATGAAAAAACAAGAGAAAGAACTATATGCAGCTAATGTTATAAAAACTGCCCTAATTTTAAAAGTAGCATCACTACTGTTTACCACGTGCTCATGTGAATTTTAAAGTGATTGTAAAGGAAATTTTTTTATAATTTTTTTTAAATAATAAACATGTCATACCCTGCTCTGCGCAACGGTTTTGCACAAAGCAGCCCCGATCCTCCTGCAAAATTAACAAAATAAAAGGGAATAGCCCATTTAAAGATAAAATTACAAAATCAGCTTTTGCTGCAGTATTTACCATCATTCCACAGTACTTTTATTTCTGTCACTAAATGTTCTTCAGTCTGATGGCCAGCATCATTGAACCCACTACCTCTGATGGCCAAAATTATTCAACCCACTCCCTCTGACTTCTCTTCTCCCATCAGCATGCTTGTTGTCAGCACGTTAACTGACTAGCTTCTTGTACTGCCTCTTCCTGTCACACTCCAGTTCTGCTTTACAGAAATTGCAATAGGCTGATGCCAGGGTAGTTTACAGTGTAAAAAAAATTTCATGATGTAAGAATGATTGCAGAGTAATATTATCTAAGGCACTGCTTTCTAATTCCTAGTCACAAAATTTGAAGTTAGATTTGGTGATATCACTACAGTGCCGTTCTAGGTTTTTTCTGGAGAGGAGTAGCAGTATAAGGATTTTCCTGCTTTAATTTCATTCATTCTGTGGACCTGTGCTTCCTCAACGTTTTCCATCTGTTTCTTGAAAATTCACCCACCAGTCATCAGGTCACTAGTCATCAGAGGGGCCGCTTTGACATGAGGACGCAAAACCATGCATCTACCCTGATTTCTTCGTCCCTTGCATAACTTTTTGGGGACAGCTTCCACAGTCCAGGTTCCATAGGTTATGGGCATTAAGAATTTTAATAACAAATCTACTTTTTGTAGATTGGTATTTGATGAACCAGAGCTCATGAATGTTAAGGCATTACCCTAGTGTTTTGGCTGGCTATCACATGGATACCATTGATAACTCTGCCCCAAATTACATCACCAATCTTGTCTCTAAATATCACCCAAACCGTACTCTCCGCTCCTCGCTCAACCACCTGCTCCCTAGCTCCTTTGTCTCCTCCTCCCATGCTCGTCTCCAGGACTTCTCCAGAGCTTCCTCCATCCTCTGGAACGCTCTACCCCAATTTATCAGACTATCGCCTACTCTGCTCACTTTTAGGCGATCTCTGAAAACCTATCTCTTCAGGGAACCTTATCCTGCCCTCAGCTAATAATGGAATCTTCTATTCCTCCTACCAGTCCATCCCCCACAGTTATTACCTTTTGTACCACTAGCCCCTCCTTTTTAGATTGTAAGCTCCAAGGAGCAGGGCCCTCCTAACCCTCTTGTATTGAACTGTATTGTTGCTGTATTGTCTCCCATTATATTGTAAAGCGCTGAGCAAACTGTTGGCGCTATATAAAATCCTGTATAATAACAATACCTCATTTTGTCACTAGATTGCAGCGTGGTAAAGAACTATGGGTAGACACCTCCTAGCACAAAATCAAGATACCTAATGGTACTTGGTACAGCATATTAATTGTAAAAAGGAAAATTAAGACCTTGCGAGATTTGACTCAATACAACTTTTATACACCAAGTAACAAAGAGAAATAAGCCAGTTCACACCATAACCTCTCTTTTAAAGTGCCATTAAACCCCAAATGTATTTACATGCTATTTTGCATAATGAATCAATCATTGTCACACTAGTTTTATGCTTAGAAAAAAAAACCTGATTCATCCTGCCATTTGCTGCCTCTACCTGCTTGTCTGTGTCTCTGCTGTAGGATGATATCCCAGGGAACAGCTGCTGCTACTTTCATTGCCCATGCTCCAGCTGCTGGGAACAGGCAAACCATTCACTTTTTTTTACTTTTTGTCATATGACTGCTACAGCCAAAAAACACTGTGTGGACATATGAAGACAGCTCAGAGTTCCCTAGATGCCATAGCAGCTTCTCTCACAGACATGGATGCTAGCAGCTCCTCCACCGATCTTTCCCCACTCTACCACATAGCAAAATTCTGTTTTGTTTTTTTTAAGTAAGACTCAGAAACATCAACAATAAACTGTTATTTATATACTTATATTTATATACTGTTTTAGAATGATCAATGGCAATTAAGTGTTCTCTGATTACTATCACTTTAACACGGTGGTGTATATTAATAATTATAAAACAGTGATGGTCCCTACCTTGTTCAATGCAGCCTGAGTGGCACTCACATACAGCTGCAGCTTCTTCTCTCTCTCTTTACGTTTCGCCTCCTGCTGTTCCAGAGTAGTCTTTACTTTAATTCGCCCATGCTGGAAATAAAAGTTCAGCTGTGACTTGTTCAAAAAAAGAAACTTAATTTAACGACCATAATAAACAACACGCACAGTATGTTTTCACTTATTTATACAGAAATATATAATATATATTTTTTTTATATTTTCATATATACCTTTATTTTCCAAATACTTTTTATTCAAAAGTTTTCAAGTTTACAAACTCCACAAAGAGAAAGAATACAGTACAAAACATCAGAGCATACATTTTGACAGCAAAATACACATTTTTACAGTACCAACAGGTCATGTGTCTAGCTCTGTGTGTGAGAATAGGGTTAAGACCAGTATTACCCTAAAACAGAAAAAAATCATAAGGGAATGAAAACATTGGGAGGTCATTGCCACATCCTTTAACCACTTGCCCTTCAGAGGACTTACCCTCCTTCCTGACCATGCCATTTTTTGCAATATGGTGCTGCGTTATTTTAACTGACAATTGCGCGGTCATGCAACGCTGCACCCAAATTAAATTTATGTACTTTTTTCCCCACAAATGGAGCTTTCTTTCAGTCATATTTAATCGCCTGTGTTTTTTTTTTTTTTTAAAACAAACAAATATTTTTTTACTATAAAACATATCCATTAAAAAAATTTTAAAAATAAAATTTTGTCATAAATTTAGGCCAAAATGTATTCTGCTACATGTCATTGCTAAAAAAAAATCCCAATAAGTGTAAATTTATTGGTTTACGTAAAAGTTATAGCGTCTAGAAATAGCGGTATATAAACTGGAATTTTTTTTTTTTTTTATACTAGTAATGGCGGCAATCAGCGACTTATAGCGGGACTGAGGGACTGTGGTGAGCATTCTGACCCTGGGGGGGGGGGGAACTGACTGCCACTGACATTCCCAGTGACACTAATACAGTGATCAGTGCTAATAAAAAGCACTGACAATGTACTAATGACACTGGGCAGGAAGGGGTTAACATCTGGGGCGATCAAAGGGTTAACTGTGTGCTGTATACTGTTTTACTATGTTGTCTGTGTGTGCTTTATTATATAAGCATGCTAATTTTTATTGCTCTGCTATTCAGAGCAATACAAAGCAGCATGCTGGTGCTGACAGGGGAGAGATCTGTATTGTTTTCATACAGACCTCTACCCTGTCAGTGTTCCTTGGCGATCGCCGGGTGTCGGTGGGTAATCTGCAGCTGGGACCTGATGATCGACAGCTGTAGCTGCCAATGGCGGCGCGAGTAGGGCGGTGCACAAGCCCCCTACCCGGAAATACAAAGTCGGATAGAAGATAACATCTATAACGAAGTAAACAGCATACCAGGTTCCACCTCAAACCTGTACTTGAGATCCAATAAACCAATGTGATGTTTGAGGAACAATATTGTCCTCTTTATCAAGATAACAGACAGAATAGTTCTGTTTGTTATCTTGATAAATGAAGTCCATAGTGCCCATAAAACATCACATTGGTTTATTAGATCTCAAAGTTCTGAACTAGAACCTGGTGTGCTCTCTGATCATTCCCTTTCTAAAGAGAACTACTGTTGCTGAATACCCTATGAATTACGGCAGGCCTTGAAATTTCCACTCGCCTGTTCGCCAATGGCGAGTGGAAATTATCGTGGGGGCGAGTGTGTCCTCCAGGGCTGTCTTGCTGAGCAGGCGCGGAGCTCAGGGTGGCTCTGTCATTGGCACTGGGAGCCATCAGACTGCTCAATAGCTGAGCACAGTGAAAGCAAAGGAAGAAGTGTGTGCTGTGCTCTCTGCCTCCCCCTAGAGTGCAGTACCCGGCTCTGTGAGTGAACAGTGAAGTACTGCAACTTTTTATAGGGCTGTGTGTGTGTGTCTACCTAATTTCAGCTCACTCTGGTCACGATTCTCTATGTCAGTCAGTGGTGGCTTAAGGGGAGAGGAGAGAGCACTTAACAGCGTGCGTGTACGTGTGTGTCTGTGTAAACATGTACATGTGTCTGTGTGTATGTACATGTGTTTGCGTGTATGTACATGTATGTGTGTGTACATGTGTCTGTGAATGTATGTACATATGTCTGTGCGTGTGTATTTTTGTGTATGTACATGTATCTGTGTGTATGCGTGTCTATGTATACATGTGTCTGTGCGTGTGTGTGTGTGTACATGTGTCTCTGTGCGTGTGTGTTCATGTTTCTGTGTCTGTATGTGTGTGTACAGGTGTCTCTGTTTGTGTGTGTTTGTTGGTGGCGAGTATCTCTTAAGGCCTGGCTAGAAGCTCAGGACTTGAAATTTTAAGCCCTGATACAGTATATGCGGAGTAGGTGCAGGATGCATTGTTGTGATCTAGAAAGATCCTGCCGTTAGCCTCCTCACACACAGTAAGCAGTGAGCAGATTATTGAAATTCTGATTGACAGAAAATTAAAGAGAGCCAAGTGAGCAAACAGAAAGAACCGTTCTATCTAATTCTTTTGCGATCTGTTACTATGAACAAATCCTTCACAGCCAGCCTTTGCTGTGCTTCTCTGAAATAGTTGAACACAAAATGACCATTGGAGACCGAAAACAAGGGAACCAATAAGCAAGGCATGGCATACTATAGAAGAAACAGACATGCCTTATAATACAAATAAATGTGTATGGAACCATACATGAATATCCACTGTTCTAAGCGGGTCATTGCCAAAGGAGGAGTTCATGTCTTGCATTTGAAGGTACTCCGTATGTACCTGGCTACAAATGATGATGGGTTTAGATGTACCGGTATTTGTTTTTAAAACATTAGATTTCCCTAAAAAATATACTATAGTTTTTTAGCTTTTCAAACACATGCGGTACCCAATGACATGTAAACTGTTATGGAGATGGCTTTATTTCTGACATCTTTGGTAATAACTGGTGTTTGTGTTGATTTTTTTTAGCTAACCATCTAATATATATACCTACCTACATACACACACACACACACCAGTATCATTAAGACTGGAGGCAGGATGGATAGGAATGGTTCAAGCACTACAGGTATGCGTCTCTCGTAAAAGGCTCCTTTTGTGCCATGAACATTATGGGTATTTAGCACCAGATTGGATCACCCCTATCTCTGGTACATATATTTATCATGGAGGATGGCTAGATCTGCTACAAATGAGACTCATTGATAAGGTATAGTCCAATGCTGCTGTGTATGGGAAGTTTTCAAATAGGCCTGAAGTATTATAAGACAACACAAGGTTCTCACAATTCTCAATTTTACTAAGAACCTAACATAACTCATCATTTGATACAGTCAAGTAAATAACACTTAACATAGCTCTGAATATTTTTTCAAAAAATAAACACACGGAAATGTAAGCGGAGCTTTCACATACCATTTTGTTTCAGGACTCGAGAGAAGTAGACCTGCAAGAGATCACAAAATTCAAATGGTTTAGTAAAGGTCAATAAAAATATATGTGCAATCATTTACAGAAACGTAACCCTGCCATTCAGTGTTCCAAATTTGGCCATATTTGGTTTTGTGTAGTATAGGTAAACGAAACTGAAGTGAAGGTATCTATTTACTTAAAACTAAAATGGAAGGAAATAAATAGAGCACAGAACCACCAAGTAATAAAAATAAATATGCAAATACATTTAAGAAAAAAGTCTTTTAAACATAGAAGTGTAACCTGCTTATTATACACAGATAGTGTATCTTAGTCTATGGCAGCACAGGATTGCGGGGGTAGGAAAATAGCTGGAAACTTCCACTGTTGCAACAATGGGAGCTTTATACCATGTGCAAAATGTGGGAAAATAGAAAAATACACAAAAATGTATTTGAGTCAACAAGCCAGCACATTTTTTTTTAGTTTGGGGTAGAGCTGGGCTTTATAACCTGTACATTTTTACCAATAGTACATTTCTCATAAACACAGTCCATCCCTAATTGAGATTTCAGTTTCCAGTAGATGCCAGTGGTCTCCCTCATGAAGATAGTGCCAATACCCCCCATACCCTTCTGTAACCTGATGCTGAACGGCAGATTTTATAAAGAACAAATCTCACTCAATGTTGATATGAAAGCAGTTTAGGATTTGCTGACACTGAATGAAGTCCCTGATTTGTACAATGCAGGCACACACATAGGAGAAATAGTTAAGGACAGAATGATTATGTTACTTGGCAAAAAATGAAATCTGGTGGATGGTTAAAGCAGAGCTCCAGTCTCCCCCATAAAAATTAAAAGTGAGCAGCTACAGTACAAATACTGTAGCTGCTAACTTTTAAAATAAGGACACTTACCTGTCCAGGGAGCCAGCGTTTTCCTCACCTGAGTAAATTCTTTAGTCAAATTTGGGTCCTTGGCGCCGGCATCTTCAGTAAGGCAAACGTTCACAGTCGGTCCCCCCTACGCATGCGCAAGTTGTGCTGCACTTTGTGAATGGTCCCGCAATCTTCTGGGACCTGTGATGTGACCTGGAAGCCTGTGGGAGAATGGGAGGTTGAACTTCAAAACCAGGTACCAGCTCCCCCCACCCCCCAAAAAAAGTGCCAATAGTTAAACAGGAGGGGGGGGGGGAGAATACAAAGAAGCAGAACTTTCCCTTTTGGGTGAAGTTCCACCTTAAAGTCAAACTAAGCCCCAAAACATTTTGTGTTGTATTTGGTGTTGAGTGGTCCTTGGCAATCTGCCATCCACAGCTTATAATGTTTCTGAAATTTGAAAGATGATGTAAAAATTCCAAAATTACCAAAGAAATTATAGGCAACAATTTTAGTGTTAGCAGAGCAACAAGAGCTCTGCTAACACTAGTCAGAAGAGCCAGATAGCAGAAAAGGGAGGAAAGCCAGTTATGCATGTGCTATGATATTTTTATACTTGTTGTTATAGTTGTTATGCTTGATGTGTCATCTGCCACCTGCACCCCATGTCCTAGCTTAAAGTGGTTCTATGCATTGTGCAATGTTCTATGCAAACTGCATTCTATGCATTAAGGTAAACAAAATCCTCTGTGCAGCATGAATCTTCAGCCCCACCCCTTTATTTTTACCTGAGCCTGATCCAATCCAGCGATGAGCCCAAGAGCAGGGACTTTCGCCGCTGCCTCCCTCCTCACAAGGCAGATTGAGAGCAGCAGAAGCCATTGGCTCCCACTGGTGTCAATCAAATGCTGTGACGAGGGAGCGGGAAGCAGGGACGAGCCTCTCCACTGGCTCTGTGTCAATAGATGCAGACTTAGATGGCTTTCCATGAGAGCACTCACTAAAGAGGAGGAGCCAGGAGCGCCGAAAGGTGACCCCAGAAGATTAGGATCGGGGCAGCTCTGTGCAAAACCATTGCACCAAGCAGTAAGTATAAAATGTTTATTTTCATTTTAAAAAATTGAAGGTTTATAAGAGAAGTGGGGCTTTCCTCCCCCCCATTTATGCTTACCTAGGTGGATGCAGCATTGGTTCAATGCTCCATCTGTCCCCCGCCAGCTCTAAGTGTGAGAACTCAGCGATCACATGACTGCCGATCGCTGAGTTCTTACAGCCGCTCTGAGCAGAAAGTGGTGACTATCAGTCACCACTCTCTGCTCTGCTCCCCCCAGCGCTCACTGGAGCACTGGGTTGTGGAAGGTAAGGAAGTGGCTGGCTCACGATCTTAGTGGCTCGCTGAGAAGCTGAGCCAGGTGCCGTTCCAGACTCTGGGGTGGATCCCTACTTTAAAGTCAGGATCTTTCCCCAGGCTGGACCAGCTGAGTGATGTCAGCAGACAGAGGGCTGCAGCCCGCTGTCAGCTAAAAACCGGTCACAGGAGTGCAGAACGAACTGCATTCCTGTGATCCACAGAAGTACAGCCAAAAGAGCTTTGGCTGTTATTCTCCTTTAATGTCACTTTCAGATTAAAAAATGAAAACTTCTCTGCCTTCTTCTAATCTGTTAAAAGACTGTGTGGCACTGCCTACTGAATGAAGATATTTACATCAGCAAGTGATCCCATATTGTTCTGAATAATATACATTTAGGGGTCCAATCCCTTACTGCGGCCATCTGTCTGCTTCAGGGCTGGTTCACACTAGAATGCGGTGTGGGAAAGCCACATTTTCCTCATTGCTTTCAAAACGAATTGCCTTTGCAATCTGCAACCGGTTCAAATACATTTTAATTGGAACCCCAACACAGATTGCAAAAGCACTGTGTTTGCAGGCACCAGATTTAGTGCAGTGCATTTTTCAAAAGTAAGTTCATGCACTACTTTTTATTTGCTCTGGAGCAATTTCACCCCATTCATTTAATGGGCTGGAAATCACACTGCATGGGGAACGCCCAGGAAACGCAATGCATTCCTGTGCAATTCTGCTTGAAACTGACACAACAAAAACCTGGTACATTTATAAGGCGTAGCAGTGTATTTTATAACATGTGTTTTGCACTCTGTTGGCTGTGTGGTTAACCCCTTACCACATCCATATCTCTGCTTAAAAACACACAGCCCCTTTGTCCATTTATAAAGCACAGCAGTCTCCTTTACAAATGTGTTTAGCACTCTGCTGGCTCTGAAATTCACAGAGCTTGGTCATGTGACCTGTTGGTCATGAGACCAGCCTTCCTCTAACTGGTCAGTTCTCTCTACTGTGTTAATATAGATGTAAACCCTTAAAGAATGAGATTTAGTTTGCTAAAACAATGTGCATTAAACAATAGCCTGTTTTATTTAACCACTTGCCTACAGGGCACTTATACCCCCTTCCTGCCCAGGCCAATTTTCAGCTTTCAGCGCTGTCACACTTTGAATGATAATTGCGCAGTCATGCAACACTGTACCCATATGACATTTTTATCATTTTTTTGAGACAGATAGAGCTTTATTTTGGTGGTATTTAATCACCTCTGGATTTTTTATTTTTTGCTAAACAAACCAAAAACCACTGGAAATTTTGAAAAAAAACACAAAACGTTTTTTCTTAGTTTTTGTTATAAAATTTAGTAAATATGTGATTTTTTTTCTTCACTGATGTGCGCTAATGAGGCTGCAGTGATGGCCACTGATTGGTGGCACTGATGGGCACTTACGAGGAGGCACTGGTAGGTGGCACTGATGGGCATTGACAGGCATCACTGATGGGCACTGAAAGGCAGCACTCATATATGGCACTAATAGGTGGCACTGATAGGCGGCACTGACTGGCACTGATAGGCGGCACTCACAGGTGGCACTGACTGGCACTGTTAGGCGGCACTGATAGGCAGCTCTGACGGGCACTGATGCGCACTGATAGGTAGCACTGACTGGCATTGATAGGTGGCACTGATAGGTGACACTAAAAGGCAGCTCAGATGGGCACTGACATGTGGCATTGATGTGGCACTGGTAGGCACTGATATGTGGCATTGATGTGGCACTGGCAGGTAGCATGGATGAGCACTGACAGCTTGCACTAACTGACTCTTAACAGGTGGCACTGCTGGGGCTACACAGATCATCAGGGCACACTGATCATCAGAACAAGAGAACAGCCTTGCGCCCGTCATTACCTTATATGGCGGGCGGGAGGCGGTTAATATACTTTTTTTAATTCTTTTCATCCTTCCTTGCATACGGGGACTGCTAATTTTTTTGTAGCCACTGCCAGTCTATAGGCATGCCCTCCTTCAAGTACAGCATGTCATTGTTCAGTGTGAATTTCCTTTAGGTTACATTCACACTTTGCAGGAACCCACACAAAATCACATACTTTCCTACAACACACAAGAACAGGCAACCCTTTCACAGACGTGCTATGGTGTCATTGATTCTTAATGGCACCCCATGTATCTTGCTAATGCATGGACCAAATTGCATGGTAACAAAGTACCATCATCATTAGAACTGTGTTAAAGAGGAAGCAAGGCCAGCCGCACCTTTACACTACAACTTACTCAGCACACTTGATTATAAAATATTATCTACAATAAAAATTTCCTCAATTGATTCCAGTTGTGCAATAAAAATGCTTTAGGCCTTGCCAAGCCTTCTGTTCCTTAAGCCAAAACAATCTTTGATAAACCCACCAGAATCTTTTCTGGGCAGCTTCATCTGCTCACAGCCAACAAATAAATTCTTGAACATGCCCTACCTATTGAAGGTGTGACCTGTCAGTTCTAGCTATCGCAATAGGAAGTTTAGTGGCTGGGAGAGCAGAGTGACAACACCCTGGTACAGTTCTACTGTTAATGATGACTTCACAGCACATTAAAGAGTATGCAAACCCAACATTTCATATTCCTGATATGGGCCTGCTGTACCATGTACTTGTATGACTGCTTCCTTTGTGTGAAATCCCTGGTGTTACTGCCGGTTCCTCTGCTTTCCTATTAAAAACTGATCGCACTAGGCATGCAAACACACCTTGGTCAATTCTATAACTGTGCTCCTCCAACGATTAGACCTATGCTCACATGCCCTCCCCTGCACAGTCTTTTACTGGGAAGTTCAGTGTACTACTATTTCTCCTCCCCCAGCTCTTTGTTCTCAGCTGCATAAGGAGCTTAGAGAGTTTGTGAACACTTATAAAACAGAGGAAAAAAAAAAGTATTTATAATTTATTTTTTATATATATTCACAAATGTTTTGCCTTTCAATTCTATTTGAAAGAGGTTGTAAAAGGCAGAAGTTTTTTAACCTTATTGCATTCTATGCAGTAAGCTAAAGACCCTTCTGCAAGCAGCTTCCCCCGCAGTCCCCCCCTAAATACATACCTGAGCCCAATCTCGATCCAGCAATGTGCACGAGACTCTCTCGCTCCTCAGTGGCTCAGATACAGTAGCAGGAGCCATTGGCCCCCATTGCTGTTAATCTGAGCCAGTGACGTGGAGATGGAGGCAGCCTGAGCCTCGTTCTGTGTGTCTCATGGACACACAGAGCAGGGTTTGGGAACAAACATACATGAGTGCATTCATAGCAAGTGGGGGGTGGAGTTCAGAGTGTTGGCGGGGGACCCTAGAAAAGGAACATCGGGGCTGCTCTGTGCAAAACCATTACACAGAGCAGGTATGTATCACATTTTTGTTATTTTAAAAAAAAAAAGCAAAAAAAAAAAAGCTTTTCAGTCACTTTAAACTGAATGGGTTGTTTTACAAGGTGAGGGTTTACATATACTGTATTTTGAAGTCCATTTCTCGGGAAAGAAAAATCCTTCCTTGCAATGAGCTGTTCCTGAACTGCTTGGTTAAATGCTCGTTTAGGTGTAGGAGACAGGAAAAGCAGTTCTTCATACCCAATCCTTTGCTTTCTTGGGAGATAGTGATTCCCTATGCTCCAGTGGTGGATTGCTCCTCAGTGTTCTCACATGCAGGGCTAAGGGCCCTTCATCGGTCTTGATGATGTCGGAGGACCATAGACCACTGGAGTGCAGGAAAGAAGAGGCTATATGAACCTGTTTTGCAGTGCATAGAGGTATGCAGGAATGGAGGGTAAGTAAAACTGCTTTTCCCAAACCCCTAGATGTACTGGGGCATTTAACCATGCAGTGCAAGGGCAGCCCCACTGCAAAGGGGGATGTTTACTCTCCCTGGATCAGATTATTTGGCTTTATCCTCAAAATACAAGATGTTGGTAAGGCTGGGGGAAACTGTTCAACAATTGTACAATCATATTGTATAGTGAATGACTTGAGTTATATATATTTTTTGGATATATCTTACTCACTTTTATTTATTTATTCTCATTAGGTCCATATTTTAATCTGAATGTGTTTTAATTATTTTTTTTTTTACCCAGTTGATAATCTCAAACGGTATGGTTTATTATTCATGCTAACACATTTGGAGATATTGTTTTGCTGTCAGATTGATAGGGAGTCATCCTTATGTTTTTATTAACCCTGATGAAGGAGGCGCTCTTTGACCCCCAAAACACATTGGTTACTTTTTGGATTGTCCTCTTGACTTTTACTGAAATAGAGTTGTATCTGGACCTCTTAACAGTGGTGTGGCACTTCACATTCTATTTTTGTTACATTATACTCTCCCTGGTGGTTTATTTATTAAGGTCAATTTCACAAAATGTAATTAACATGGAGGGAAAAAGAGGCTTGTTTTAATTGTGGTTGGGATATGTGTGTGTGTGTGTATATATATATATATATATTTTTTTTTTTACACACACACACATACTAACATACTATGTTGCCAAAAGTATTGGGACACCCCTCAAAATCATTGGATTAAGGTTCCAATCACCCCCATGGCCACAGGTGTATAAAATCAAGCACCTAGGCATGCAGATTGCTTCTACAAACATTTGTGAAAGAATGGGTCGCTCTCAGGAGCTCAGTGAATTCAAGCGTGGTACCATGATAGGTTGCCACCTGTGCAATAAATCCATCCGTGAAATTTCCTTGCTACTAAATATTTCATGGTCAACTGTTAGTGGTATTATAACAAAGTGGAAGCAACTGGGAACAACAGCAACTCAGCCACGAAGTGGTAGGCCATGTAAAATGACAGGGTGGGGTCAGCGCATGCTGAAGTGCACATAAAACAACAGAGCGGGGTCAGCGCATGCTGAAGAGCACAGTGTGCAGAAGTTGGCAACTGTCTGCAGAGTCAATAGCTAAAGACCTCCAAACTTCATGTGGCCTTCAGATTAGCACAACAACAGTGTGTAGAGAGCTTCATGGAATGGGTTTCCATGGCCGAGCAGCTGCATCCAAGCCTTAAATCACCAAGTGCAATGCAAAGCGGCAGATGCAGTGGTGCAAAGCACTCCACCACTGGACTCAACAGCAGTGGAGACATGTTCTCTGGAGTGACGAATCACACTTCCCTATCTGCAATCCGATGGACGTGTCTGGATTTGGCAGTTGCCAGGAGCACGGTACTTGCCTGACTGCATTGTGCCAAGTGTAAAGTTTGGTGGAGGAGAATTATGGTGTGGGGTTGTTTTTCAGGGGTGGGGCTTGGCCCCATAGTTCCAGTTAAGGGAACTCTTAAGGCATCAGCATACCAAGATATTTTGGACATATTCATGCTCTCAACTTTGTGGGAAGCGTTTGGGGATGGCCCCTTCCTGTTCCAACATGATTGCACACCAGTGCACAAAGCAAGGTTCATAAAGACATGGATGAGCGAGTTTGGGGTGGAGGAACTTGACTGGCCTGCACCTGAGCCAGATAGAACAACTTTAGGATGAATTAAAGAGGAGACTGCGAGCCAGGTCTTCTCGTGTGACATCAATGCCTGACCTCACAAATGCACTTCTGGAAGAATGGTCAAACATTCCCATAGACACCCTCCTAAACCTTGTGGACACTTCCCAGAAGAGTTGAAGCTGTTATAGCTGCAAAGGGTGGGCCAACTCAATATTGAACCCTACGGACTAAGACTGGGATGCCATTAAAGTTCATGTGTGTGTAAAGGCAGGCATCCCAATACTTTTGCCAATATAGTGTATATACATATAATACACACACTATATTAAATGTAATACCAAAAATAAAAATATTGTTTTTCTCCATGAAAGGGATATCGAAAACCTTGCACATTTTTCTGATGACAGAAGATTTGCTTCATCTGATGTAACAAGGATAAGGTGCTCCTTTTTCAAACCTATACAAGGCACTGATAAAGAAAACTGGTAAATGACAATACATACCCACAGTACCTTATAGCAGATCAGAGCAGTGTTCTTCAGACAGCACACTTTTGTTTCATCAAAAACATTACAAACCCAGCAACCCCCCCCTGACGTGGTGTATCTATTCCTGGAATCACTTCCTCTCTCTCTTCTAGAGCCAAGCCTCGACATTAGTTTTCCCCTTATGGGCTCTTTCTAAACCAAGCCTCACTCTGAGTTTCTTTGCGGTTCTCTTCCACAACCAAGCCTCATTCTGAGCTCCTCTATTGGTTATGTGAGTGCAACCCTCTAAATTCTGTTTGGGTGACTTTAAAGCAACCCTGTCATTATAAGGTCACTTCTAAACAATAACAAACCAGCTAAACTAAATATATACATACATTTTACTGTTGAGAGTTAATAATACATGTTTAAATTACATTTGACAATTTCAAAGTGAGCCACCACAGCGTCACTATTTCTTGCTTGCTGCAACTATTCTGCACTTTCTGGTGAGTGGTAAACCCACTTCCACCACTGCATGCTGTGGTTTCTCCTGCTGCCTTGTTCACACTACAGGATGTATATGCCGACTGGAAGGAACCTCCGTGTACAGAAGACTACCAGGTAGTTGACCCATCCAACGTGTCAAATGTTTGCAGTGACCAGAATGCACCATAAAGCACTGGCATTTCAAGACATGAGCTGCTGGAAAGGTAAGTATATTGCACTCCTGTATCACATAAAGACATCAGAAATTTTAAAAATGAAATGAATGCCCACCTTCCTATTATTCTCCCCCCTCCCCTTTTACACTGGTGTTCAGTCTAGAGCCGTCCGTCAGTTTTTCAGATGGATCCAGACAGAACCACAATGTATATCTATTTATCTATTGGTGAGCAGATGTAAACAGATGATCATCCAGTCACATCCATGTCCGTTCAGGTCCATTTATTTTTAAACGGAACTACCAATGTCTAGGTCAGTTGAAAAGAATGGAAAGCATGTAAACGAATGCCATCCTTATACATCCATTCCGTTTTGTTCCGTTTTTGTTTCTAGTTTTCACCTCTGTTTGGTTTCTACAACAACTAAGAAAAAAGGGATGCAAAAATGGATGTAGAATGATCTGAACTGAATGCAATCTGATGTAAGCTGAGGTAAACTGAACTGAACGCGGTCCGTTTTTGCACTAGTAGTGGATTGTAAAAATCTTATGTAAAAATGGATGTAAAAACTGCTAAAAAAAGCTGATGTAAACTTGTAAACTGAATGGGTTTTTTTCTTTGAGAAAAAATGTGACTGAACGTATGAAGTCGGTGTGAAAGGGGCCTTTCGGCCCGTTCTGTTTGTCCGTTTTTCACCCATTCGTTGATGGATGAAAAACGGACATCGATGCATCTCTATGGAAAAACAGAAGTAAATGGATGATCATCTGTTTACATCTGCATCCGTCAACATCTGTTTTTTGGAACAGATCAAAGCCCTAATTTTGTTCCGTTAAAAAAACAGAATGGATTAAAAAAAGGATGTAAATGGACAAATGATCATTTTTTGCATTGGTAATCGACGTAAAAATCTTATGTAAAAACAAATGTAAAACTGATTAAAAAAAAAAGAATGTAAAAACTGATGTAAAAAACAGATGTAAAAGCTGATGTAAAAACTGATGTAAACTGATGAAAACCTGATCTGTTTTTCTTTGAAAAAAAGTGACTGAACTGATAAAAAAAAAAGTGAAAAGGACCCTTGTAAAAGGACACTTACCTGTACAGCTGGGTTGTTCCCCAAAAGCATACTCCAAATCCTGGTGATGCAGTGGTGTTCCCTAGGGATCCTCCTCTTCACCACAGCACACCCAGTCCTGTACCACCATCTTCTTATGACAACACCAGGAGGGGCAGATGTCACTTCTGGGTTGTGCAGTGGACCTGTGATGATATACTTGTGAGACAGGTATACACACCCCTTGTATATGTGCAGCTCTGGGGCAGGGAATGCCTGGCTGCCTATGATTGGCCCAGTACAGTTACAGTTTTCTTGCAGGATAGCTCAGGTGGGTGGGTTCAGACTAGGATCCAAACACACCTGAGCTCGTCCCTATTGTTGACTATAGATCAATTATTCCTATCAGAAGACGATTAGAAAATAAGTCAATCATTCTCTGAGGCATCATAAGATTCACTATACAGATTACAATCTGACCATACAATCTCTTCACCATCACTAAAGCTCGCCAAACACGTTACAATCTAATTGTACAGTCTCCTCCAGATCTACCAAACAGTGCAAGGGCCTGTTAGATTGAACACACGTTGATTTTATAATTAGGTTGGTCCTCATATTACACAGTTTTGGTGGATCTGAGATTGATTGTATAGAGATTATATGGTCAGATTGTGACGTGTATGGTGACCATTAGATCCACCAAAGTTATGTAATATGAGGACCTAACTAAAACTATCCAGCCAGGGAAGCCCTTGCACTACATACTTGTTGGTAGATCTAAATGAGATTGTACAATCAGATTGTAAAGTGTGTGGTGATCTTTAAATAAAGTAATAGAATAGAAGGGACATTCAAAATGACTCGTGTCTTGTGGTGTGCCAATAAAATCTGTACATATTGGAAGCCAATGGAGAGTTTTCTCCCTCTCTGGACTTTACTTCCTCTTTTTCTCTTTTGATCTTAAAAGAGAAGTATAGGGTAGCCCACTGTTGGCTGAAAACTGGTCACAGAAATGCAGAATGAACTGTACTCCTGTGATCTACAGGAGTACAGCCAAACGAGCTTTGGCTGTACTTCTCTTTTAAAGCGGACTTCTACCCAAAAGGGGAAGTTACACTTTAAAGATTGGTCCCCCCGCTCCCCATTAAGGATTGGCACCTTTGGGGAGCGGGGGGGGACGGGTAGCCAAATTTGACAGGTACCTGCTCCCACTTCCGCTGCGATCGCCTAGGCGATTGGAAATGGAAGTTGTCCTCCTACCCTCCCTCCCCCCAAAGTCTTGTGTGACACGTGACAGGTCCCAGAAGATGACGGGGCCATTCAGGAAGTGCAGTGCTACTCGCAAATGCGCAGTGGGCACCCTGCTGTGAAGCCTCAAGCTGTCACAGCCGGGTGCCTACACTGAAGATGCCGGCGACTGGAATACAGGACGGCCGATGAAACGGGCTGTGGCGGGGGGCAACGCGGGATCGTGGGACAGGTGAGTGGCTGTTTTTTAAAAGTCAGCAGCTACAGTTTTTGTAGCTGCTGACTTTTATTTTTTTAGAGTGAGTGGAACTCCACTTTAAAGTGTTACTAAACCTAGGATCCTGCATTCACTATATCTGATCTCCCACAGTACACACAACATGGAAACTCAGTTATTTTAGAAAATATAAACTGCTAAATACTTTTTCTCATCAGCAGTTATAGCAGAATTGTGACTTCTATCATGTCCAGCAAGCACTAGTTACAGCTTGTAGGAGGAGTTTTCATTTTCCCTTGACTGCCCTATGAGGCTGCATTACCCCTGATCCTCTGTCTGGACAGTGCTGATTGGCCCCGTGCTGATCACAAGCACTCTCCCAAGAAAAAAAAAACCTTGCTACCAATACACACTAAACTGAGCATGTGCAGAGTGACTTTTGGAGCGCTGTACTATCAGCAGATTGACTGATCAAACAGCCTTTTTACGCAATGTGGAGGATTAACTCTTTATGTTCCACAGTAAGTATAACAAGCATGTTTACTGCATAGACTGATTTTACTGTTGTGGGTTTAATAACACTTTACAGCAGTAGTAAACTGCATAAAGAAAAAAAAAAATCCCTGCAAGGTGAAGGCATAGTGTGCTAGTATACTGTACATCGCATACTAGCACATTTTGAAGGACTTACTTTGAAACGAAGCCCTCCAATGGAGCGCTGTCATGGCTCCCCGGGGCTTCCATCTTCACCCAGTCTTCCTTCCGCGTTCGCGAGCTCTAGCTGGCTGATTAGCCGAGCCACGATGAGGTCACTTCCACGCATGTGCATAGTATTCCTGGGCCACGGCTCATGGGTATGCCATTCCTTCAGAGCGCATGTGCCAAATATAAAAACAGGATAACCTCTCCTAAACAGTTCACGTTTATTACTGTTGCTACAGGGAAGCTTTATTATAAGTAGGTAAAATGATTAAACAGGAGTTTACTTCCACTTTATGGGACACAGCTGCGATCTGCTGTAAGGTACTGTGGATATTGGTTAGCATTTACAGTTTATTTATACAGGTACTTTGTATGGGTTTGGATAAGAGGTGTTATTATTC